TTTTATAATCATTTTTAGGAATTCCTTCTCAGGCATTTCCAAAGCCTGCCCATCTTTCAGTATGGAGTGTAGGTCTACTTCTAGTTCATTTGCCTCAGTCACTGTATCTCGTTTCTGGACATGTGTAGATATGGTCATCTGCTTCTTTTTTTTGGGGGGGGGCATCTTCAGGGGTTATATGTGGACTTAATACATAGATGGGTTTGTATTTTGGTATTTTTTATGCTTTCTGAATGCCTCCAGGTCGATGTGATCAGGAAATGGACTTCCCTTTTCACTCTTCTTCCTGAGAAGTTTCAAGATACCACTGTTGGTCGTTTTGACGTAATTTAGGATATAATTTTTGGCCAATTTCATCTTTTGTCTGCTTGTCCTGCTCCACAATCCCTATTCAGGCCTTTTTTCTAGTTGGAAACAGTTCAGGACCGGCTGTGGCCATTTGGTTTTAATTGGAAACTGTATCTTTAAATTTCGAGGCAATCTGTGCACATGCGTAGTAGAACCCTCAATGGTGGGGCTGGGGTGTCCACTAGCTCAGGCACCCCGATAGTTACCAGAATGGAGGTGTGCCGATAGCCAGGGACCAATGAACAGATACCAAAAGAAAAGAATGTCCACACCTTTATCTCAGCAGTTCTACCTGGCATCTGTGGTCGCTCCAATACTTACCCCCGCTTGGTCTCACCCAAGATGGTGGCTCCTGGAGCAGCCAAGCGTCCCTGACTAGAAAGCAATAGTTTTTTTGCTTCTACCACAAATTTCCCCAGCTGTAAGCCTTCCAATCTTCTACATATTTGTTTATATGTGGTTCAGAGTTCTGGGAATATCCTCTGAGCCTGCTTGTTCGGGTATTCTGTGTTGTTGTTGACGGAGCTCTTTACTACACATCCACCCAATCTGCCATCTTGTTTATTCTCATATCATTGACTGTTGATCATACACTAACTCTTGAAATGGTTGAATATCAACCTTTTTTGCTACAGTGTCTCTATATTCTCTATGTCTTCTTTTGATGTTTCCTGCATCAGTCAGTATTTTGTCCATAAAGTCCTACAATTATTGTAAGACGAGGCTTGAATTTTTTCTTCGTTTCTTTCAGTTTAAGAAATGCAGAATGTGTTCTTCTCATTGAGTTTTCTAACTCCAGATTGTTGCACTTTCATTTTAACATTTGTCTTTGTCTTCTGGATCTGCCCTTTGAAATGTTCTGTTTAGCTCTTTTACGTCCTTATTTCTTGCGTTTGTTTTAGCATCTCTATGCTCGAGAGCAAGTTTTAGAATCTCTTCTGACATTCATTTTGATCTTTTCCTTCTTTCTTGTTAATTACTTTTTGCTTTTGTCCTGTGTAATGTTCTTGGTGTTGTATTATAACTCTTCTGGTTCAGTCTAATTAGTGTCTAATTTATCAAATCTCTTCTTGAGATGATCTCTAATTCAGGTGGGATATGTTCAAGGTCCTCACCAGGTGTAATACACAAAAATCAAACTCACTTGTAGCTGTGGAAAGAGACGGTGGAAAAAGTCCATATCGTCAGCCAAAACAAGGCCATATATATAGTTTAAAATTTTACTGTAGGTTATATCCTGTGTTGTTTATTACATATGACAAAATGACAATTTGTCATTGAAAACAAAAAGCTAGTTCATTGAGATGCTCTACAGCTTAGTGGTTATGAGTTGGGCTGTTAAACTCAAGGTCAGCAGTTTGAAACTACCAGCCACTCCACAGGAGAAAGATGGTCTTTCTGCTCCTGTAAAGATTTACAGCCTCAGAAACCCTATACAGGGTTGCTATTGAGTCGGCACCAATTCCATAGCAAACACCACTATCACCATAATGCACTGGACCTTAAGGTCTGTTTGAAGTGCAAGGTTTGCAGTTCAAATCTACCAGCCAGTCCTTGGAAACCCTTTACAAGATCACTGTGAGTGGGAACCAACTCGATGGCACATAGCCACCACCACTACCACATCATGTTTATACAGGCTTGGTTTTTTTTTTTTTTTTCTTAGTAATTTAGCTGATAGAGACTATGTTAGAAAACAATACTTCTGTAACAGTGATAGGAGAATGAGTTTATCCCTTTATTTATCTTGTCCACTGCTGACTGACTTTCTCCACCTCTCGAATTGCCGAAACTATAGTACATATTTTGGTGGGGTTATTTCAGGATTAAGTAGGATTTTTTGTTGTCGATAAGTGCCATCGAGTCGGGATCCGACTCATAGTGACCTTGTACAGGGTTTCCAAGGAGCAGCTGGTGAGTTGGAACTGCCGGCCTTAATGGCCCAAACTGATGTTGTAGTTTATCACATTAACCGACAGTGCCACACCAGAAGTCCTAAGTAGGATTAATACTTGTTAATTCTGAATGTCTAATTTATGTTAATGGTATTTCCTGTTCAGAGCTTTCTTAGTGCACTTACCAGTTTATCAAAATTTTTATTGACGTGTTAATCATTTAAATAGCCTTACTGAACAGTCTATTATGCAAGCAGTTATGGGGTGATTTCAGAGAGATCTATATACATAACATTTATTTTGAGGCTAGAAAATTTAGTTGCTGTTTTTGAGGTATTTGTTGTTCATTTCTTCAAATATATTGTTACTTCATCAATCATAACTTTATTAGTTAGCATTAAAATTGTGCTCATTTATTCTTCTTTAAAAAATCATGGTTTTTTTTCCTTACTAAATCTATTCCTTAATAATTAAACTTTTAAATCTACATGAAATATTTAAACTGAATTGTTAAATGCTGTGTTGGTGAGCCTGTATTTAAAGAATTCTGCATAGAATTCTTTTAGAAAGCAATATATTGCTGTCTCTGATTTATCTGTTTCTTATGCCAAGTTTTTTGAAGTGGTTCATATTATATAAATTTAGAATTTTAAAATTAATCTAATTAGTTTAAATAGTTGTCAAAGCTATCAGCCTGACAGAAGCCTATAAGAAACAGCTTAACTAACATCAAGATTTTTATTTTGTCCTAATTACTGAAGTTCACAAAGTTTGGAATTTTGTTGTTTTTTAAAAACATTGTTGAAAAATTCAGTCTCTGTCCTGTAGGTAAATTATCACATAGCTCGGGTTCATTGTGTTTCAGATCACTAATGCAATTTTTTTTTTCCCAAATAGAAAGAACTCTGCAACATGATACTTGATTGCTGTGCACAACAAAGAACATATGAGAAATTTTTTGGCTTATTAGCTGGGGTGAGTTCTAGCCTAATTTTTCATGTCAGAATTTAATAAAGGCACTAAGAGAACTCCTATCCTGAACATTGTGAATGAATGTTTTTACTTTGTGGTCTAATTTAATGTAAAAGCATGTCCTTGCTAAAATCAACTTGTTTCTTCCTTATCCAGATTTCTATCTCTTGGAAAACATTTTTGCATTGCCTTAACTTTTGCAGATCTTTATTCCGTAAATTTAAAAAGTGTACATACTTTTAAACATTTTTATAGATAAAGGACAATCAGTTGCTGTTTTTTGTTTTTGATTTTTTATCTCAAAGCAGTTTCTGAAGTCTCGTACAGTTTTAGCAGAAATAAAGCCTGAGCTAAATAATTGTTTTCAATATAAATGATACCCACTTAATAGATGTATATTTGCAGAGCATACAAGGTTTGTTTCTTCAGCTGCATGCATAACTTTATTTTAACATGTAAATCCCATGTAAATAACCCTATATATCTTACCTTCTTTTTTGAGAATTGTATTATATAACAAAAAGATTTAGTGATTTGATGTTTGATCTTTGAAAATATAAATACAAAATATTTATTCACTTCTGATTCTTTCAGTTTAGGAAAATTTAATATGTTGATAATCTTATTGACATCCATTTTGTTCTTTCACTAGCGTTTTTGCATGCTAAAAAAAGAATACATGGAATCCTTTGAAAGTATATTCAAAGAACAGTATGATACCATTCATCGTTTAGAAACAAACAAATTGAGAAATGTTGCCAAGATGTTTGCTCATCTTTTATACACTGATTCACTTCCATGGAGTGTAAGTAGATGGTTCAATATGTATACTTCCTTTCTACTCCTTTATTATTCTTAAATACGTATTCAGTATAATATAGCCACATTTCTTCTATTTAGGAAATGTGCTTAAAAATGCAAAGTATAGCTAACTTTTATTTGTTATATAAAATGGCTCAAAAAGTTGAATATACGTGTATATATACACATACATGTATATACATGGAGTCTTGGTGTGGTGCTGTGGGCTAATGCTACAGACTGCAAAGTTGTTTGAATTGCAAGGTCGGTGGTTCAGGCTTCTTGGAAACCCTATACAGGGTCACTATGGGTTGGAATCAACTCGATGGCACTGAATAACAACAACACATGTATGAGTGTTAGAAATACCATCCTGGACTGTATTAACAGTTCAAACATCACAGTGCTTTTTAATAGATGGTTAGGAGCTTTTTCAGGATAAGTGTTGTAGATTCTAATCGTCTCCAAGTGCATGCTCACTCTCATGTCTACTTGCACTGCTTGGTGGTGCGTGCTAATTTGAGCTACTGCTCATGTTTGCTGAGGGAGTAATGAGCATGATTCCTCAACCTAGGACAGCAGAGAAGTGATTGTTCTAGTAGGATGTATTATTGAAGTTCAGTCTATATGTTGATATATTCTTAATGGACAATATTACTGTTTTGGAATTTGAAATACATGTATGAAGCTGTCATTATTGCACAACTATTCATTCAGCCACTAGGTATGGAGCTACCAACCATGTACCATGCTTTCAGTGAGGTTACTATGTAAGAGAAGAAGCAAGACATACCCAAGAATAACAAACTACAAAATAAAAAGTGTCAAGTTACTAGAAGCATAAAGTTGCTAAAGAAGTTTTAAAAAGAAAGAAATTACATTCAGGAAGACAATTAAGATAGAAGAGGATCACATTGTAGAATACCATAATCTAATGGTAGAACTAGACAATGAGCTGTAAAATGTTGATAAGTTTTTAGCACTCTAAGTAAGTGTACCCAGCTACATTAATTACAGATAGGCATTTGTAAGCTATCCTAGGAGCCTAATTATATTCACTTCTGGCTTATTTTTCCTTTGGGCAAATGAAATTCAAGTTTTTAGCAATTGACTGGCAGATGGGTTCCTGGAAGACAAAAACAATGAAAACTGGAAGCTGTTTTTATTTTTATTTGCCCTTAAACATCTCTCCATGGACTTTAGGTTTTGAGTCCTATTCTTAACATTCAGAACAAACTATTACTCTTTCTTTCTTTGCCTTTATTGTATATAATTTGTGGTTTAATAAAACTATGGAGTCCTGGTATGGCACTGTAGATTGAATACTGGACTGCTAATCACAAGCGCAGTGGTTCAAACCCACCAGTCAGTCCCCAGAAACCCTATACAGGGTTACTATGAGTTGGAACCAACTCAACAGCGCTTAACAACAACATACAAAATTATATAAAAGTCATTTTGCCCCAAATGCCGTACACACCACCTTTTGATGAATGAGATTTAGTAACTAACATTATATGCTTCATGTTATGTGCTTCTTTTTGTTGTATTACATGCTGAAGACACAAAATCCTCCCTGCTCTTGGAAGCACATTATTCATACGAAAGGATAAACTGTTTCTGTAGCATCTTGGTGTGATCATTTGAAATTGAGTTTAGAGAAGTCTTATATTTTGCCAAGGAATAATAACATATCAGGGTAAGGAAAGCTATTCACAGGTACTCTGAAGATGAGGCTAATTCATAATTTTAAGAGACACTTAAAGTTATGAATGTTACTTTATCCTCCCTTTTGAAAACCAAAATAAAATGATAAATTATCACTTTTTTTTTTTTTTCTAATTTTCAGGTTCTTGAATGTATAAAGCTGAGTGAAGAAACCACTACATCATCCAGTAGAATTTTTGTCAAAATATTTTTCCAAGAACTATGTGAATACATGGGTCTTCCTAAACTTAATGCAAGATTAAAGGATGAGTAAGTTTATCATTAAACACTTATTCTTACTGCCCTCAGGGTTTCCCTATATATTACCAGAAATAAATCTACTCTTGGTTGAAAAAGCAAGGGAATCAAGCCTCCTAGGACTTTGCCCATCCAGTAGTCACAATGCTGGACTTCCCATTCTGTGGCATAGGACAGCATGAAAATTTTAATGGTATTTTCTTTTTTTAATCCAATTGGAGAGAACACAGAATTAATGCCTTTTTATTCAGTTAGAAAATATAAAATTAATTTTTTATACTCACTGTAGTACTATAGTATTGAATAGTTGCAGGTTTATTTTAATTTTAATCCACATTTTGAGTCTATGAATGATAATTTTATTATCAGTGGACATTATAAAATAAGTACAGGTAAATATCAATCATGATCATTTAAATTATCACACTGAACTGTTATATAATCTGTAGCTCTACTTTCTTATTTCCTCCTTTATTTAGATTATCTATTGCCTGACTTCTATGTCATTCGCATTACTGAAACCATCCTTTGATATATCACAGTGACCCTATACAGACTCGACGGCACTTAAGAACAGCTGGTTCACTTAACAACAGCTGGCTCGCTATGGCTCATTACTTTTGTTTTTTCATTCTACATTAGCCATCTTCTCAATCTCTGCCTCTTCCTAAACCTGCCCTCCCAGCGATTAAGTTTACCAAAGATGAATTCTGGCCTCTATGTGCTTTCTCTGTTCCATCACATGATGGGCTATTCCATCTGTTTCTCAGTATTTCCTGTGTTTATTTGGGTCTTGTTGATCATACTAACTCTACTCCCTTTCCAGTGCTATCTACACCACCATCACCCATCTTATAAACAAGTTTAGCTCTTCATGCTTCTACTTGCCTCTGTTTCCACTGCAGACAATTCCTTCTCTTGTTCTTTCTAGAAAATGGCTGGTCATTCTTCATTTGTTTCACTTTATTCTGTGAAACAATTTTCCCTGGCTTCATTTCTTAGTCATTCCATTATAGCACTTAGTTCCTGTCTAAAATCCTACTGTATTAATTAATTTTTTGTCTATATTTTCTCCTTCCCTAAAATCAGTGGTTGTATATCATTTCACTGTTGATTTCTCTCCCCATGCCAGTGCCCTGCACAGTGCTGTGTGTGTATATGCACACACATACCAGAGGCAGTTTTTAACTTTTCTGTATATATATGTATACACTCACAGAATATATGTATAGATATGTATGTATATATACATATGTATACACAGAATGCGTACAGATGTGTGTGTGTGTATGTACACATATACTTCTCTCTCTCTCTCTTTTTTTTTTAGCTGGGAAAAAAGACATTTTATTTTGTGACCTGTGTCAAATCTCTTCATTCTCAATGCAGGTGACCCTTTCTCCCCAGGAAACAAGAATGAGTTTGAGTGTGTCTTCTGTAGTCACAACACCCACAGGGCCCCAGAGAAACCCCACACAGTTCTGAGTTGATGGGAAAGCCTAGTCACGGCTTGAGTGGGTAGGAAGCAGTAATGCAGGAGTAGCTATCACCAGTCAAGAGGCTGAGGGCTAGAGAACCTGCTCTGGTTTGGGGGCTGACATGTGGATTGTGACAGGAGAAAGGAGTGAGGAGGCTTCCCTCTGTGTTGTGTGCCTTCGCTTGAGCATAGCTTCGATTCTGTTCCGGGCTCAGCTGGTAGGAGAGCCGGAATTTGTTGTGGGCTGGCTGGTTCACAGGTGCTGTTGCTGGTGTCCCAGAGTCCAACAGCACAGGTGAACTGTTTTAGCAAGACCCCAGTGACACTGGAGGAGTTGGGGAAGTCAGCCCGAAGCCCCCGACACTACTGGATGCGACCAGAAAGGTCGAGTGCACCTCTTACAGCCTGGTCTCTGAATCGCTTAGGGTTGTCTGCAAACAACAGTTAGGGAATGCATCCGTGAAGCTGAAAGAGAGAGAAGTGTGTGTGCACTTCTGTTCCTGAATACTGCCACAGCCTGTTACCATCTGCCAACTGCCAGTCTTGGGGAGAGAGGATCCGAGCAGGGGATGGTCCAATGATCTGGGTCTAGGGACTTCCAGGGAACTGCTCCCTAGTCTGAAAAAGTTATCAGAGTGTTTAGAGGATGAGGAGCTGGAGGACTTGGTCTTCCCCAGCCCCATGTGAGCAGGCAGGTGTTCTTCTGAGACCTGCAACCAGCAGCTTCAGAGCCAGGATGAGTGACTCGTATTCCAAGTTGCCTATGTTTGCACAGCCTTGTAGGTGAAGCTCCTGGCTGTTCCTAGAGAACTTCCTATGGCCAGGGAGAAGCCACTGCCAAAGCTAGTGGTGCTATATGTATATACATACATGTATGTGTATATGCACACACATATATATGAATGTTAATATATATAGCAGTGCTGTCGAGTAGGCCCTGACTCAGTCACCCTATAACCAGTTTCTGAGGAGCAGCTGCTAGGTTAGCAGTCCATTGCTAATCCTGCAGCGCCATACCAATCTATGACTTCTGTGTGTATACATTTTTTTTTTTTTTAATGCTCCCTCTTGTATAATTATAGAAACCCAAGTTTAATAACTTATGACTTGATTCTACTCATTGCGCTTAGTCTGAGGCCTAACCTAATAATTGTCATAACCGTAACCTAACCTAATCTAATAAAATGACATAACCTAACCCACTTACTAATTTAAATTTTAGAAAAACTGGAAAAATGACTATAAGGATTTTGTCTTTAATTTTCAAAAGACTTTTTCTCTCTTGTTCATTTTTCATTTTTAGAACTCTACTGCCATTCTTTGAAGGATTACTACCCCGAGATAATCCAAGAAACACGCGATTTGCCATCAATTTTTTTACTTCTATAGGTCTCGGAGGTTTAACGTAAGAATTATTTTCAGAATCTTATTTTGAATTTACAGAATTGTCTCATAACTGTCTTTAAAGCAGGATCTAACAGATGGTATCTCTACCTAGGGATGAGTTGCGTGAACATCTCAAAAATACACCGAAGGTCATCATGGCACAGAAACCAGAAGTGGAGCAAAATAAGTCCTCCCCCTCCTCGTCCTCTTCTGCGTCCTCCTCTTCGGAGTCTGACTCCTCAGACTCTGATTCTGATAGCAGTGACAGCAGTTCAGAGTCTTCCAGTGAAGAGAGTGACTCTTCGTCTACCAGCAGTCATAGTTCAGCCGCAGGTATTGAAACGCATTTGTCTTTCTCTTGTCTAACAAGTACATTGCTGGTGATGGTTACAGTAGCAGAAGAAAATTATTTAGTTGCTTATTTAGTTATTTTAGTGTTCATTTGTCTGAAAGCCACCATTAATTGTTTAAGAGATTATCTAACACTGTTATCCAGGAGAAGCCCTAGTGGTATAGTGGGTTATGTGCTGAGCTGTTAATCACAAGGTTGGCAGTTCTAATGCAACAGCTGTTCCACATGAGAAAGGAGACTCTCTGCTCCCACAAAGATGTACAGCCTCGGAACTTCTGTACAGGCTCACTATGACTTGGAACCGACTTGAAGGCCCACAACAACAAGATTTTCATCCTCGCTGTTGATGGCACAGTGGTTAAGTGCTCAGCTGCTCCTGAAGGATCAGCAACTCGAACATATGATAGCATCTTACATAACCATAGTGCAATGATCAAAACCAAGAAATTAATACTACAGCAGCAATATCAAATAAACAGTAGATCTTAATTGAATTTTACCAGTTTTTCCATTAATACCCTCTTCCTGTTCTGGGATTCTGCTTACTTTTTATTGTATTCCTCCTTAGTCTTCTATAATCTGTGGTAGTTCCACAAAGTATTTTGTTTTTAATGATCTTGGTTCTTCTAAAGTCCCTTAGTCTAGACTTTTCTGATGTTTCCTCGTGATTAGAATAATGTTAAAAATTTTGGGCAAGAATACCAGAGAAATGATGTGTTCCTTTCAAGTGGCATCTTATCAAGGGGCTCATTGATGATTAACCTTGGTCATCATATTAGCATAGAGTATCTTTTGGGTTTCTTCACAGAAATTTCCTTTTGTAACATTAATATCTTATAGGAATATAATTTGATAATTTGACAAAAATAATTCCTTTTCTCTCAAATTTTAATTTACTAGTTTTAGCATCTCTTCTATGATAAATACATACTACTCTGGTGTTTGTTTAATGGTGATTTTTCTATTTGTGTCACTTCTTCTAAATTTATTAACTGGAATTCTTCTCTAAGAAGGAACTTTTCTCTCCTACTTTTTATTTATTCGGTTATATATTTAACTAGGATGTGTGGTATGGTGCTGTCAGATAAGCACTGGACTGCCAACCACATGGTCAGTGGTTCAAACTTACCAGATGCTCTTCCAAAACCCTGTACAGGGTCGCTATGAGTCGGAACCAACTTGTTGGCACTTAACAACTGCAGCATTTAACTAGTGAAACTAGTGTTTCCGTAGGGTAAGCATTGTACTGTGAAACCTAAGATCCACATTTCTAACCTACATGTCACTCCACAAAGCCAGAAAGAAAAATGAAGAAAGATGAGACTTTCTACTACCACAAAGATTTGCAGCCTCCTCTGAAGGCCTGTACAGGGTCTTTGTGAATCAGAATTCATTCTATGGCACTTAACAACAACATATTTAACTAGGGGGTTTCAGAAAGTTCATGGAAAAATAGAATTTAAAGATGATAGAATTTTTCCACAAACTTTTTGAAGCTCCCTTCCTTGTGTGTTATTGTGGACTCTTGAACATTTCTTTTATTCTCCTGTTCTTTTGACATGTCTCTATCCTTTAAAACCCTTCCTTCTTTAACGGCATTATAAGTTGTTTGAGTTCTTTGATGCCTTTACACAAGGATTTTTATTTTAATCTGGTATTTCTAGTTTTCAGCAGGAGCATAGGGTTACCACAGCTTCTCCATCCTACTTGGAAGTAGAAGAGCTGTAGTACATGATTTTTCTTTTCGGCCATCCCATTTTCATTGTTTGGTTTTAGCTCAGATTTTCTGAAAAGGTCTATGATGTTTTTCCCAAGCTAGGCTCTGCTTCATCCATGATAGAATCTTAGTCTTTCTAAGTGGTTATTCATTTGTACTAATTGCATGTCATTCTTGTTTGCTTGTTGCTTTATTTTTATGCTACATTTGAGAGACACAGCACTTTTCCCTACAGTCTTAGGTTGGAAGGCTAAACATTATTCCCTAGCTTATTAGACTTCAAGGTGTTTCAGTCCAGAATTACAGGACTCAATTGTTTTATATTATTGAAGCACGATTCCATGTACTAAAAAGAAATTTTACTTTTGAATGATACTGTACATTATCATATATTTGCAGTGCTCATTTAACATTCACCTCTCTTAATTCTAAAGAATTTGTTATTTCATGGTGTTTGTTTTGAGAACAGATGATAGCACAGCATGAGTTGCTGCAGTAAGGAAGCTTGCTGATTCAAAATTAACTTGCTTTATCATGCAATTTCAGTAGAAAGTTTTGGTTTTTTAAATAGAATATTGAATAGCATAAAAGCAGTATGAACTGCCCTCAGATTTGAAAATTGTAGCTCACACTTAACAAAAAAGGAGGAAGTTGTTTACTGTTACATAGTTTTCATAGCAACAAATCACTAAGGATAATGTAAAGTCAGGCTAGAGCGAGAGAGATGTTGGTTTAGCACAGAGCCAGATGGTTTCTGCTTGGGTAGCTGTAACTCATTTGAGCTGCTTGATAGGAACCAGATAAGTAAGTCCTTAGTGGCAAACCGAGTGATGACATAGTGTGCCAAGGATAAACATTTGGTGAGGCTATGGTAGGCAGTTTTCTACCAGTTTCCTACCAAAGGCATGTTTTCTTCTGTCTGTGTATGTATGGATTTGAAAGAAATGTTGGTCATCTCAGTGTCTCTCGTTTATATACACAAACTATACAAATCTTATTTAAATTTGTGATCATGTAAGTAACATTATATGAGTCCCAGGACCTTTTGAATAAAGTTTTCTCAAAAAAATCAAGCCTCAGTGGTTCTCATAAACCTAAGATTTTGTACCTTCATGCCTCCCCAGAGAGAGAACAGAATTATGTTTTTTTTTTTTTTTACATGAAGTATTTTTTTGTTTGAAAAATATACAAGGGACTTCAAAATGTTCATGGTAAAAGTGGAATTAAAAGATAATGGAATGTTTCCATCACCTGTTTGAAGTGTCCTCATATGTGCATAGGGCTAAGCAAACACAGTTGTCCTGTTTCCCCTTCCTTTAGGAATTCATGTTACTAGTGGGAGCTCTGGTAGCGTAGTAGTTATGAGTTGGGCTGCCAACCTCAAGGTCAGCAGTTCGAAACTACCAGAGGTTCCGTGGGAGAAACATGAGGCGTTCTGCTCCCGTAAAGTTTGACAGCCTTGGAAACCCTGTACAGGGTCACTATGAGTCGGAACTGACTCCATGGTACTTAACAACAACAGCAACAGTGGGTGTAATCATTAGATCTGACATAATATTTCATACAAAACAATGCATCTGGGCAGGAATTTCCATTTTTGGATAACATTTGTGAGGGGGGATATACCAGTATATTATTCTAGTTACTTCGACTCAAAAAACTTACAGCATTTGCTATAGTTTATTTAAAGTTCTGTTCAATGTCTTGAGTCTAAGAATCAGAGCAGTGCTTTGATGTTGTTGTTGTTGTTGTTGTTAAGTGCCGTTGAGTCGGTTCCGACCCATAGCGACCCTGTACAGGGTTTAGCTAATGTGAAAGTAATATGTATTCAGATCAACGCAGTTTGGAAAATGTTTAGTCATTAGACTTTGCGTTCAGTTTGGCTTTGTATCCACTTTGTCTGAATTAGTAAACCTAAAATGTATCAGTGAATGTGATTTATTACATTATAAAATTATGATTAAAAGCTGACTATGTTTTGTTTCACATGCACAGCTAAAAATAGAAGAAAGAAAGCACAAGGCAAGCCCAGCAGTAAAGAAGTAGATAAATTGATGAAGAAACAACAAACAAATGATAGAAACCAGGAAGAAAGACGACGAGAACAAAGACACCCAGAACCAAGGACTGAGAGAGAAAGGTGGTCAGAAAAACACAGAGATCCAAGTTCAAGAGATACGAATTGGAGAGATGTCACTACAAAGTATACCTCAGACAGAGGTCTTCCTTCTGAACGAAATAGCTACAGTAAGGCTGTGAATGAAAGAGACCAAGAAATGTACACAGATTTGGAAAACAGGCATGGGGACTCAAAAAAGAAGAGAGAAGAGAGGAGAAACTCTTTTTCTGAAAATGAAAGGCACAGACACCAAAATAAGGATAGTGAAAATTTTAGAAGAAAACATAGGTCAAAGTCAAGAGAAAAAAATAGCAAACATTCCGGCTCCAGAAGTGATGAAAATAGGCATCAGAATGGTGCTGAACGGCGATGGGAAAAATCTAGCAGCTACTCTGAACATTCTAGAGAATCAAAGAAAAATCAAGACCGGCGAAGAGAAAGGTCTCCAGCAAAGCAAAAATAATTATATAAAATAATACAGACTCAACATGCCTTACTGAAACAATATTTTTTACACTGATTGACGAACTTTATAAAGAATTCTTGTATAAAATACTGGTTTGTATTTGTACATTTAAAAAATGTTTTCAGCGTATTTTATAATTGATACATCTCAAGGCCCTCCATAAACTTATTGAAGGGATGTAAGACTTGATTATATTTTGTGAATAAAATATAAGATGTTCATTGAATCCGTGGATTTTTTCATTGGCAATTTTTTTTTCTTTGAGTGTTTCCAATTATTTATATAACTAAAATTGTGGATTTTATTTATAACTGAAGACCAAAATAGATGACCTATTAAATTTACTATTTTTGTTTTGTTAATGCGATGTTAATTAAGTAGAACTTTTTTTTTTAATCGTAGAGAATGTATTACAAATTTCATATGGTATCTTGAACAAAATAGGCATGTGTAATTTTTTTTTACGAGTGTTGCAGTGGGTCTAGGGGTATATTAATCTTTAAAATGATGCACAGCTAAATTTTTTATAATTAGGTTTTCTCTCAGTAACATTTCTTTTCTGGACTCTTACATATTGTTTAATAGAAATTCTTTGTGATCATTGCTTTTTCTCAGCCTTGAAGTTTTTATCATTGTTCATGAATTAATGTGTATTTAATTTTTAATTTGGATTGATAGGTCACTGGAAAAGATACAGTCATGAAAAATATGTACAGTGTGAAATAATTCCAATTTTTATAAGAATTTTAGGGGTTTCCGTCATTGTAACTCTGAACAATTAATATGTGACCTTAATATTTATTACATTTGAAATAAAATATTATCTCTGAGATCTTAGCTTTTCTGATAGATATTTAACCTTACTAAATTAAACTTCTTGTGTTTACTCATTTTAAAAGTACACTAAACCATGTTAGTCAGTTTCTGGGTTCAAGAATAGTGGTATTTGGCTCTAGTGTATACTCTGACACAAAATGTGTTCTATTTATGTTGTTTTTTAAATATTGTAAGTATAACTAATAAAATCCACATAAACAAACATTACCTCTCTCTACAAAAAGTATTAACACTATGGCACCTTGGAGAGCTTATTAACTAGCATTTATCCTGGTGGCAATTATAGGTGATAACATTAGAAGAGACTATCACAGACAGTACATTTCACAGAAAGATAAGTTAGCAAATTGGATTTAAGAAACACATAGGCTATAAACACTAAGGGACACAAATAAGACATTACTATTTTACTGAACACTGATAGAGACCAAAAAAAGAATGTGGACTGCAAATTTTAGTTTGTTTTCTTCACTTTAACCTTAGTTCATAACTGTGTAAAAATGGGAAACCCTTGCCATTGAGTACTTAAGACTTTAAGGAGTTATTTAAATAGATAATTTTTAAATATAATCTTTACCGAACTCCTATGTGCCCAAGCCTGACCTAGGAACTAGAGATACAATAATGAATGAAGCAACTTTCCTCTAAATGTGGCTTATATCATAGTGTGGTGGGCAGTGAAAGGTAATGAACAAACAAAGGTCTAATGTAGTGATCAGTACAAAGAGGAAAAATGAAGAGTGAGTGAAATGGGGGTTATGACAGTCAAAGAATTTCTCCTAGATGAAGCCCTGCACTCAGCCATCTGAAGGAAGTGAAGGCTGGAGCCGTATGTATTTCTGTGGGAAGAATCAAGACAGGAAAAGTTGGCGTATGGATACTTATCAATGGTAAGTCTTTAATCAGATTTTTTTTTTCCTTCCCACTATCTGGTAGCGTAGTGGTTACCAATCAGCCTGCGAACCTTAAGGTCAGCAGTTTGAAACTACCAGCCACTCCGCGGGAGAAAGATGAGGCTTTCTACTCCCGTAAAGCTTTACACCCTCGGAAACCCTGTACAGGGTTGCTATGGGTTGGAACCAACTCGACGGCACTTAACAACAACAATCTTATAAAAGCAATAATCAAAAAAGACTTAACTACCTTCAAGCACTAATTATCAGAAAATGGAATGTATGAAATATGAATCTAGGGAAATGGAAGTTAATAAAAAATGAAATGGAACACATAAAGATCACTATCCTAGGCATTAGTGACCTGAAGGAGTCCTGGTATAGTGCTGTCGGATAGGTACTCGGCCATAACGTCGGTTTGAACTGCATGGTTGGAGGTTCAAACTCACAAGCCAGTGTTTTGTTGTGCATAGGGTCTCTATGAGTCAGAACCAACTAGACGGCACCTAACAATGCAACAACAACATTTATACTACTTCCTCTTAGATGTTTCCATCTTTTTATTTCAAGCAGCTTGCTTCTCATACCCCTTATTCCACAATTCCCAAATGTGTCATAAGGGTAGAAAAAAGTTTTGTTTTCTGTTAATTAGGAGGGAAGTTTTTATACTTTAGTATTTTGTTATGTTATTTTTATTTTGGCTCTACTAGCATGTTCTTTTTATTCTAAATTCATCCCTGCTTCATAATTTATGCTTTCATGAATCTAGATGGTTTAGAACTCTGATTTTTTTTCATTTTCCAGTTCCATCCTCACTTTCCAATGCAGTGAAATACCCTTTCTATCTGATCTTCCAAATAATTTTATTTGGTTCCTGTGTATTCCACTGAATCCTTCAGTCAAACACTTCCTTAACTATCCTTTGATAACTTTACAAAAGATTCCAGAGTGTCCAGTGTGACCTACAGGAAATGCTGTCCCCTTAATTTCTTCACATTACATATTTCAAAACCTGAACTGAAACGCCTCCAGATGGTCTTTTCTGTTTATCCTTATTATGAGCTCTTTTGTTCTTCTAAAGCCATGGATGTGGTCTACCATTTCCACTTATATCCATCACGTGGTTCTTTTCAAATGTCCTGATAAATATTGGTCTTTAAAAATACATTGCAGATCACCAAGTATAATAACACTCATGTCTTGAAGTTAGTACATCTATTAACTTTTTCTCTGAAGATAAATGTGAGGATGGGTGCCTTTGCACTACCATCTGTCCTCCCCAGTACCCCAAGTTCATGCTTTACGGTGAAGAATCCAACTATTGAGTTGATGTTAACCATGTTACGAAATAGAAAGGGGACATTCAGTTACTCACAGTTTCGTTGGATGTGCATGTCTGTTTACTGCAGAAGAGAGCATATGTCTTTGTGGTTGAAGTGGGGTTGCTTGGTTTTAGACAAAGACAGGTTCATATAGAGTACTGTGTTAACATTTAATTTTAATACTATAACTAAAGACACACTTGAGTCTGGCTAGATTTTTATCTCAGTTTTACCAGTTAGCTGTTTGCTGACTTTTGGTTTGTCTCAGTTTTCTCTAAAATTGCATCAAATAAAACCTCCCTCAAAGCATAATCTTTATGGCATGCTTAGACTAGTGTCTGGATTTAGTACAGGATATGTATTTTTGTGTTTATTGTTTGTGTGATTGTCATTGACATTAAAGCTGGCACAACCCCATTAGGTCAGCAGTTATAAACTCAAACACCTGCAAGGGCTAGGTTAAATGAGAAAAATCTAATTGGTTCATGAATTAGAGGTATTTAAAGTCAACAACATTGGGCAATGAATAAAGAAGGCCAAAAAACAATCAATGCATTTGAATTATGGTACTGGAGAAAGATATCCAAAGTAGCATGGGTCTTCCAGAAGAACAAACAGATGTGTCTAGTAAGAAGTGCTCCTTGGAAGCAAGGTTGGCTAGACTTTGTCTCTCATACTTCAGACATGTTATCAGAAGGGACCAGTCCCTTAATAGAAACATCATGCATAGTAATGTGGAGGGTCAGCGAAAAAAAACACCCTTGTGATAGTTAAAGTTTTGTGTCAACTTGGCTGGGCCAGGATTCACAGTGGTTTACCAGTTACGATGTAGTTATTAGCTCTATGATATGACCTAATGTATTACAATCAACCCCACAATATAATTTGATGTAACAAGCCCTGATGGGATGTAATTATTCTGTGTTGTAAATCTTCACTTTTTTGATGTTAAAAAGTCCTCACAAATGGATCAATAAATAACATCATGATAAATGGAGAAAAGATGGAAGTTGTTAAAGATTTTGTTTTGCTTGGATCCACAATCAACACACATGGAAGCAGCAGTCTAGAAATCAAATAACATTACATTAGATCAATCTGATACATAAGACCTCTTTAAAGTGCTCAAGAGCAAAGATAATCAGTTTGAGGACTAAGGTGCATCTGACACAAGCCATGGTATTTTCAATAGTCTCATATGCATGTAAAAGTTGGACAATGAATAAGACCACAGAAAAATGGATGCATTTGAGTTACGGTGTTGGAAAAGAATATTTAAAAGTACCATGAACAGCTATAAAAACAAACAAACCTGTGTTGGAAGAAGTACAGCCAGAAAGCTCCTTACAAGCCAGAATAAGGAGTTTTTGTCAATAGGGACCAGTCCCTAGAGAAGGACATCATGTTTGGTAAAGTGGAGGGTCAGCGAAAAAGAGTAAAATTCCCAAAGAGATGAATTGGTATAGTGGCAGCAGCAATGCATTGAAGCGTAACAATTGTGAGACTGGTGCAGGACTGACAGTGTTTCATGGTGTTGTGCATAGAGTTGCTATGAATCGGAACCAACTGGACTGCTTCAAATGATGTTATGAGATATGCAATCCACAGGATTAGATTGTGTCTTGTTTACAGAGCAGATCATCATAAGTCTTACAGTCAACAAACCATACATTTTGTTTCCCTTCATGGTTGCAATCCCTCTCTATATATTAATAGAGTTAACAGTATTTACATTTATTCACTTTCCCTATTGCATTCTTCTATGTCTCCCGCTACCTTCATCTTTCCTCTGCTAACCTTCCTCTTGTATATTGCCTGTCCTGTCACCGATGCTAACATGTGTCTACCTTCTAGCCCATGAATAATTTTCCCTCCACCCCCACCCCACCCTGTAGCCATCATAAGTTGTTTCTTTTATCAAGGATCCCTTTTCTTTAATAAATTTTTTACAACATTGGTCTCATAAAATATTTGTCCTTTGTGATTGGCTAATTTCACTCAGCATAATGTCCTCTAGGTTCAACCAGGTGGTGAGGTGTTTCACAGATTCATCATTGTTCTTCAGTGTTTTGTAGTATTCCATTGTGTGTATATACTGAAGTTTGTTTAGCCATTCTTCTGTTGGACATTTAGGCTGTCTTCATCTTTTTGATATGT